GTGTGTGTGTGTGTGTGTGTGTGTGTGTGTGTGTGTGTGTGTGTGTGTGAATGGGGGGGAAGAGAGAGAAAAGTGAAAACCTCTATTATTGTATTTCGTGTTATTTGTAAGTTTGAAAGCTCTGCTATACATATAATCTGTAGAATTTTTTAACAACTTAATTTTATTTTCAACTTTTTCCATGCCTTGAATATTTCAATATTAACTATAGCCAGACTGAAATGGCTTTGTTATGGCATGGTCCCGTTTGCTGCTGAACTCTCAGAAGTGCCTCTGTCGTGCTGATCTAAAATAACCTGGCTCTGAAAGCCTTGGTGTGGAGAAGTTGACGGAGACCCTGTGGTGTGAATGGGGACCAGAAACAGGGAATTCAGTCAGTGGAGAGCAGTGGCTCCTTGTCCCAGTTGAGGAAGGGGCACACATTCACTCCAGGCTTGGAGCCAAGGCAGAAGGAACACTGTCTTGGACTGTCTTTACCTAGCCCAAGGACATCCAACGAAGCCAAACCATTAAAATAAAATGCCTATGTTTAGTGAGGGGCCCCTGCAGGCATCAAGCAGGTACTGTGTATCATTGGCTTCAGATGGGGAAGTAGAGATAATTGATAGAATGGGACCTGGTGCCAGGGGACCTCCTTTTGACTGATCAAAAGGGGAATTTGTTCTCTCACCTCTCCCATCTGGCTGGCCTTTAGTCGGAATGAACTAGCCATACCTCTCTCAGTCACAGCAGTAAAGCAAGTTAAGGTTCCCAAGGAAAAAAATCCCTGACATCCATAGTTTGATCTGTACTGGACCCATAGTTTTAACTGAAAAGGGCCAAACACATGGAATCTGTCCAGTTTATGAATTGAGCTAAGTTTAGTTCTCTTACCCTTAAGCTGGAATGGGGTTGTCCAAGAAAAGTAGGAATAGTGGATAAAAATAGTTAAGAGTGACTAAACCCATTATAGGACTTTTCCTAACATTTCCAATTACATATGTCTTACCCTAATTGAACATGTGAAGTTTGCAATTTTGTATCTTGCCTTGGACATGAATGTATTACAGTTAACAGTTAATTCTTTGTATAATTTCCCATTTTTTCAAACTAATACTGAGTTTGGGTCTTACTTGACACACTCCAATGTGCCAGAAATGTCTCATTTATTTCAGTAATTATCAGGTCATAGGGTTATTATCCTTCATTTGATCTATCAGCTGTCTAATCTGTGATTATACTTGCCGGAACCTTTTTCCTTGCCATCTCCAAGGGCTCTTTCACAGAACTGGGGTACCCTCTAAGTATTGGTTCCTGAACATCAGCAGCCTTGGTTACCTCTGTGGGCTCCTGGAGTTGAGTCTCTCTAGGCATGTTTTAGTGCCATCCCTTCTCGCTCCACCTCCAGCCCAGGTACCTAGCAGCCTCTGTGCACCACTCAAGGAATCTGGGATCCTGGCTGTAGACCTGTTCCAGGAGAAATCTCTCCCTTTTTCTGTTGCTTTCTCCTCTTTAAAGGTACTTTCTCTCTCCCCACTCCTTTTGCCCCCTCCTCAATCTAGTTAAATTTTCTAAGCCTTCACAAAATGCTGGAAAGGTATAATCATCAAGGGGTTAGCATCCCTCTTAGAATTGAGGAGGAAGGACTACAGATAACAAAGTTGTTGTGAGTATATCATCCATATTTTAATTTCCTGAGTGTAGATTCTGTTGTATTTATTTGCTCAATGCTTGATTGATTGATTTGCACTTTGAATATTTTACTAGGCCTTTCCAGTTAGTTTGCTTGGGCCAAAGCACTTTGGTAAAATTTCAGCTTGAACCCCTTTCTTTAGGTGTAGAAAGAGTGTGTGTGTGTGTGTGTGTGTGTGTGTGTGTGTGTGTGTTCTGGTCTCAGGTGGAAACTTCTATATATAAATAGATGTGCAGACTTTTGCATACTTATCTCCCTTATTCTGTTTCTGTGGTAAAAATATGAAATGTTTTAGTTCTTTGTGTTTGTGGTTGCTCAGTGTTATCAACCCTGTTACTGTTGTTTGCTCTAAAGTATGCTCCTAAGGAGTACAAGTTGTTATTTATTGCCAACTAAGGTTCTGGTGATATGGCCCCTGACTACCTCCTCTCTTCCATTCTCTGTCGTGCTACTCTGCCATTTTCCCCACTGGTGCACTATTTTTGACACACTGGCCTTGCTTTTCCTCAAGCAAATTCCATTTCTTCTCGATCCAAAGACTTGTAACTGCCGTTCTCCTTCTTGGAATGCTCTTCCCCTAGGCCTGCATGGCTTGCTACCTCGCTTAATTGTTTGACACTTCCTTTGGTATATTGAGCTTCACCAGTGTTGTTACAATCACACAGTGAAGTCTCCAACCCACCCCCCTTTTTTTCCTCCTCTTAAACGCACTTTAAGTCTCCACACTCTTCTTCCCTATCAGTCTAAATTTCCTAGGTTTTCACAAAAAGCTGGGAAGAGATAATTATCAAGGGCTTTGCTTCTCTCTTAGAATTGAGTTTGCTTGAGTCAGTTTCTGTGCCTGCAAATAGAAGACAATTAATAGTGAGTTGAGTTCTTTCAAGAGCTTTCTCTGTTTTTCTATTGATACCTCTATATTTTTTTAAGGAATGTCACTTTGTTTTGTTTACAAATATATTGAATATCTGTCAAGATTACTATTTTGTTATTGTCCTTTGTGAATTTCCTTGTCTATTTTGCTTGTTCTTTCAGATAAAATTTATTATTTTATTAATGTTGCCAAAAATTGTAAGTAAAATTAGCAATTATAGAAATAAAATGTTTTTTTGAAAAAGTGTTTTCACTATGTTGTCTTTTCACCAGTAATATGGCATATTTTTAGTTTTATTTGTAATCTTATTGCATTGGCCAGGACTTCTAAACAATGATGTGTAAATGGGCTTTCTTCTTCTTGGTTTAATTAGAAATGCTTTACCATCAGAGGTAATGAGTATATGGCTTAATGAATTTCTATTTCTATCTTTAAAATTTAAAGAGAATTGTTTTATTGGATAGTTTACAACATCCGTTGAGACAGTCATTTTCCTTCCTTCCTTCCCTCCCCTCCCCTCCCCTTCCCTTCCCTTCCCTTCTTTTCCTTCCCTTCCCTTCCTTTCTTTCCTTCCCTTTCTTTCTTTCACTAACCCAAGGTTTTGCTTGGCTGGATTCACGACTTTTCTATTAGAAACTTCCTTTCGAGAAACAAAAATAATTCCACTTGGGGTTGAATATTATCCTCTCAGAATCTCATTCCATTTCTCATTTCTAGTATTGGAATTAATTTCCTCTTCCCCTTACTAGATTTGCCACAGTTTTATCAATGTTTCTGATTTACTTTTTCCAAGAAGCAACCCTTGCTTTATTATCCCAACAAGTTTTATCTGTAATCTATTTTTGTCTCAATTCATTATATACCTTCTACTTTCTTTATGATTGTTCTTTTTTATAACCTTGCATTTTAAAAGCTTTCTTTTTTCTTTTTAAAAATTTTTATGAAAATTGATTTACAATGTTGTGTTAGTTCCAGGTGTACATCAAAGTGATTCAGTTATGCGTATATATCCTTTTTTAGTTTTCCATTATAGGTTATTACAAGATATTGAGTATTTTTTTATTTAATAAAGGATTAGGACTTTACCTACCTTTATTTAAATAACAGTTTTGTCTGAATCCCAAATATTTTGATGCATATATTTTTTTTAATTAAAATTTTCATTCTCTGTATGTTTTTTTGTAAGTTAATTCCAAAGATTTCAGAATTTGCAGGCTGAATGTTTTAGTCTTAATTTATAGTTTACTGAGAATTAACTTTTCCTTGGAGCTCTGAGAGTTTGTGTGTATGTACACTGACATGTCTATATACACATCCTTTTCAGATTACTACATGGGTTATTTTTTAAAAAGATATTTTCTGTTTGGTAAAAACGTGAAATGTTTTAATTCTAGAAATCTATTCCCCCTAAATGAATATAGTATAAAAGGTAAAGGCATGAAAATATTCATTTGAGAGTAATTCCTAGTAACAAAACTTGGAAATGTTAAAAATTATTCATAACCCCTATTAAAGGTGGTAAGAAAACCTTTATTCAAGGGAAGACTACTACAATGGGGTTTTGTAATAGGGGAGAGAGATTGAGCTTAACTCTGACTCCAGCAAGGACAAAGTTGGGATTTATAGCCAAGGATCAGAGTGGGTGTCAGTGCATGGAAACTTGCTGAGAGGAAGCATCAGGGGTAAGGGTGGATTCTAGCTAAACCCACTGATGGGATCATTGCTGAGGCCAGGCCAGGGTGATGAGATATTTAGGTGAGGGGAGAGGAATTTGATCTGATATCAAGGGTGGTCAGATCAAGGGTGGGGGATTTTTCCTGGACTAACTCAGCAGGATTCTTGCTAAAATTGGACTAAATGGGCAGAGCCCCTGGATAAAGACATAGCCCAAAGTTGGCAGTGTATTAATTAACTATTGGTGCATAAGAGATTACTACAAAACTAACAGCTTAAAAAATATTATCTCACACTGGTTCTGAGAGTTGTGAATCCAGGAGCAATTCAGCCGGGTGGTTCTGGCTCAGGGTTTCATGAGGTTGCAGTCATCTGAAGGCTTGACAGGGGCTGGTGGATTTCCCTCCAAGATGGCTTACTTACATAGCTGTTGAAACTCCAGTTTCCTTGCTGGCTGTTGGGAGAAAGCCTCCATAATTTCATGTGGGCCTCTCTACTGGGCTACCTGGGTGTTCTCAAGATATGAGTAAGCTGACTTCTAGAGAGAGTGAGCAAGGAGGCTGCAATGCCTTTTATGACCTAGTCTCAGACATTTCACTGTCATTTCTACAATATTCTATTCATTAGAAGTGAGCCACTAAATCCAGCCCACCCTTGAAGGAAAGAATTTGTGGACATAATTTAAAACCACCAGGGTACACACTTGGCCACAAATTGTTTACATACCTCCTATGTGCAA